CTTGCATTGTCAAAAATTGATTCTACATCAGGAAATGTAGACTGCAGTCCATCTGTTAACAATTTATACGTATCGACATACGTTTTCATCCTCATCATATTTTATAAAATGGATAACTTCATCATTAAAATATTTACTATTAATATCATGGCTGAATTTGAATGATTATAATATATGATAATTATCAACCCACGCATCTCAATTTCATCGTTGCTCATTTTATCATTGAAAAAAACTTGAAAATTACTTAAAATATTACTGTAAACATTAAATCTTCTTGTAAATTTAGATATGAGTACATCACATTTCACATTATGTATAAACTTCTACTATACTACTACTACTACCATCGAAACATGTGTCATTATTGGATCTTTTTCCAAACTGCAATTTTATTTTTCTTATTATCATTACTTTTGTATTCTCTATTATCTGTTAGTATAATTTTTTAATCTGTAATATCTTCAAATTTGTCTCTTACATCCTTTATAAAATCGGAAAGGAATTTGTAAAAATTTGCCCATTTGAGTAAATTCGACTGCATTTCTTGTAGTGATTAACTTGTGGAATTTATCCGCTCAAACAGTTTGCCCCATAACAGTGCCGGTTTAAGTTAGTTCGCCGCCCGGTTCTTGCACAAACACAACGCCCAATGCTTTAAAATATTACTTTTTTAAAAACATTTTTAAATTTTTACTTTCTCACGTCAAGTGGAAGATTAGGTTGGTTAGGCTGGTATCTAATAGTAAACTTAGTATCCTATAAAATATAAAATGAGCCTTTATAAACAAATTATAAAAACTAATCAAAAGCACTAACTAAAAATTAAAACATTCTTTGGTTTATATAAACAATACTAAGTACTAAGAAAAACTAATTAAAAAATAAAAGTTTAATATTTTGTTTCATTAAACTAATAAAAACTAATCAAAAGTTATAAATAAATAAAACATTATTCTTTGGTTTAAATAAATATTGAGAAATCCTAATATTAATAATTAAAAGGTTGTTTTCAAGTCTTTATAGTAGCAAATTGTTTTATAACACTTTACATTTATTTCATCTAGCAGGTCTTGATAAATGGACTAAATTGCTAAGGAGTTAAATCTTTCTTGGGGAATTGTATTTCTTAGGTATACCTAAGAACTATAGTAGTTCTTTACCCTTTTTAGAGTAGAGAAAGATCGTTCATCACTTGCATTTGAAACCATTATAAAAAAAATCGCAGACAAATATTAATATTCGGAAATGAAGATATTAATTTATTTTCGTATAATTCCAATGAAGTTTCTATTTTTATTTCCGAAAGGGAAGTTACCAGTTTCTTGAGTTGGACACATTTTTGAGGAAAAAACCTCCACGAAGATTTATGCTTTTAGATTAAAAAAAAATTTAAATTTGTTTGTGCCAGATTTCTAGCTATCATATCGACAAATGATTTCGGATTATAGATTGTCAATTATTAAAATAAAACATATTGTTCGCATTGTTTCTTTTTTGCTTAAATTTGCCACTGAATTATTTATTTCAAATTGTAATTTTCTTATGATTATCCGCTTCTGAGCATAATTTTCGTTTCCTGTTAATTTCCTCGTAATGATCAAAATGATCACGTAAAAAATCAAAGTTCTCAACTAAAAATGACAAAAGATGAGCATTTGTGCTTAAATCCATATTTTGTTTTTGGACTGCTTTATTGTTTTCATTAACCCTTTGCAAAACGTCTATCCAAAAAGTTAAAATTATTCCGTTTCCATGCAATAAATCAAGTTTTTCTGATGGAGAAGCTGCTTCAACTCTAACAACATTTTTCTCATTTGTATCCGTTGTATCCGCCGACGCAGTGTCGCAATATTTTTTTTTCTAAATTCTAACGATTATATATTTTTTTTAAATTATGTGCGGTACGCGGTACCGCCCTAAAAATATTTACCGCCCGGTGCTATAGTCCCCAAAAAACCCCTGTTAAACCGGCACTGTCCCATAAGTAACACAGTTATTAAGGCAATTTCATAATCATCAATTTTTTGACTTTTTGCTTCCAATTTACTTATTGACTTTTACGTTTCACTCATACTAATTAAAATTAATGATTCATTTATGTTTTTATAATTTAATCTTAATGCTAAAACAGCTGACCACCTTATGTCACTTACTCTCATAATGTTGCTCTTTTTAGAAGATTACTATAAACTATTCTTTAAAATATTTAACACATATATATTCTGAATAAAGTTGAAGTAATGCAATGCCCTTGAATATGATTTAACAGCAGAATTTCCAATTAAATTTAAAGTTTGACTAGCACATGGTATAAATATGTTTCAACAGGTTTCTTTAATTTGGCTTGAAATCCGTTGTATTGACCAGACATGTTCGCGGCTTAATCGTATGTTTGGCCACTGCAGTTTTAGATCAAAACTCAGATTTTGCAATGATTCCAATACAATTTTTCTAAATATGTTGCATCATGACTCTCAATTGTAATGGATCCAAAAAACCTTTCTTTTATATATCCTTGCTTATTAACAAACCTTAAGGATAGAGTCAGTTTTAATAGTTCTTGAAGTTCAGTAATTAAAAAAATTTCGACTTTCGACACCCATAAAATTAATAAACCACACACAGTGTGCTTCAAATAATTAACGATACCTCTACCAGAATTATTATATTTTTGAAAATGATGACTTAAAAACATAAAATTCTGCGAGGTAGTTAATGCAACTTATGAAATAATAATAATATATTATTATTATTTCATAAGTTGCGGCCACACGGATTTGCACCGAAGAGGATGTTTGCATTCTTTGACTAGTTTCTATTTACTGTGTGTCTGTAACTTTTAAACATTATTTTTGAAATAAACTTTATTATTATTAGCAAAATGCTATTCCCAAAAGTTTAAATATTGCAATAATCCATATAATCCAATATTTCTGTTTCGAATTTATTTGCTGTGCCAAGTGCGAGTCTTTACGTTCAGAAACTAATAACCGTTTTTTAAGTTATTATAGCTTGGAAATGATCTTCAGAATACTCATGTTTTTTTTTAAGTCTTACTACATTTTTCCAGTCTGTTTTAACCTATTTTATTCGTTTATTTGAAAAAAGTTTTCAAATATAAATAGATTTACTAGTTTTTAAAAATAGTAACCATTTTCGCTTTCAAGCAATAAAAGTTGGAATAAGAAAAATATCTTTAATATGATTGTTTTTTTTGACAAACTTTACTTTTAATTTTATGATTTCAACAGTATTGGTTTGTTTATCAAATAATAATCTATCATTTCATCTATGAAATACTGTGGCTATAATGCGATATTATAAGGAAACTTACTTTGTTCTTTTGATCCTTCACTCGCATTCCTAGTAATTAAGCTTTTCTTAAAGCACACAACCTTTGGTACTTCTCTTGTCACTGTCACTTGGTGTACTAGAAGAGCTGCATCCCATATTTTGAATTTCAGATCAAGTTGGTATAAAATAACTCACGGTTTTTTGGCCACCAAAACTGGATTAAAATAGCCCAAATCACAATTCTGGGGCCCCCGTTTCGCGGCTGCCGCCTCTTCCGCCTGTGCGGTAATCCGCCGCTGGATGTGTGAGCTCGAGCGCTCTTAAGTACCTAACCGCAATAAAAGTCTTAAAGAAACATAAAAATCGCTCATATACAGTGTATTTCAAGGAAAATACGGTTTGAAATTAGAGCTACTGGTTTTACTACCTGCGCAGGTGAAATCATGTACACTGCAGTGTACCTGTTCTCCGAAATTATAATAGAAAATTAAACAGTTCCTCAAAAAGCAATCTCTTAACAAGTGGACGGACACGGGAGTAATTAAGTAACACGGGACAGGTCAAGAAATCACCTATTTAAAGAAGAAACGAGTCTACCAAGAGATATTTGTTTTTAGACCAAATGGCAGAACCTTAAATTGATAAGATTTTGTTCCATGTGGAAAACCGGTTTATTTTATATCCGACCCTCTTAAAGGGATTTTCCTGTGGTAAAAGGTGAGGTTGAAAGAACTAATGTACTAATCTACCGAAAATTGGTAGAAAAGAGAAAGGGAGTACTATAAGGACTTGAGGAGGTTCATTTAGTAATGCTTAACTTGACCATATAATCATTTTTTTCTGCACAGCTTCTCTATGTGCTATAGGGATAGGATAAGGCCTACAAAAGAAAGTAGTATTTTTACTAATGCATATATTTTCGAGTCAAACCTCAGATAATATTTTGTAACGTGTAGGTATGTGATTTAAAAAAAAGTGGAATTGGTACAGTTTGGCTTTGGGGTACAGGCATGCAAACCTGTTAACCAGATGTGGTTCCATTATATGGAATCACTTATTATGACTTCATTTGGAAAGATGGTTAATTTAAGCAATCATTTTTTTCTGCACAGCTTCTTTATATGCAAACCTGTTAACCAGATGTGGTTCCATTATATGGAATCACTTCTTATAGCTTCATTTGGAAAGATGGTTAATTTAAGCGTGTGTTAATACACAATTTTTTATAGCTGTTTTTACTATTAAATATAATGTTGTCAACTTTTTACTTTACAATTTGCGTAGTAAGTTGTCTGGGTTAATGTGTTTTAAATTTAAAAAGAATGTACGACAAAGTATAAACCGGATTTATCTAACTATATACAGATCACGTATATTTATGATCCTTCGACAGTAAAGCACTAATTAAGTTTTATGCCGTAAGGGGTTTAATGCGCGTCACGTTAACTATGATAACGGCTTCAAACCGGTCTCTGCTTTTTTATTTTTTCGGTATTTGCAAGCTAAAAATGCAGGACAGATAGCCGCCATTTCCTGCGACCAATGGCCATTTTCTGCTTTAACTGGCTTGAACATGAATTTCGAAATACTGTCGCGAACGCTTTCCCGTAACGAATTCGAATAAAGGGATTTAGAGACACTCATTGTTTACATACTGATAGTATGTTGTATAGAAAATATTGTTTACTCGTATATATTTTTAGATATTCCTACGCCTTCTACACCGAAGCCAACAACAACCACCACTATTGCTACCACTAAAAAGACGTTACCCACTAAAGGTAAGCATTTATTTTTTAATGAAGAGTGATATAAAAAATTTAAAACGGTTGGGTAAACAAAAAAACGAAGCATCTTGTTTATAATATATTAGGTGAAAAATTTTAACTTTTTATTTTCACACAACCCAAAAAATATTATTGGTATTTTTTGTATACCCTACCTAAAATAACCCAGTCTACAGCGTGGCATGCTATTAGTGCACCATTTTTAGTATACAAAACATATATTAGATTGCTAATTAAAGCAAACAATAATTACCTAAAATCACGAAATAATTTTTCTGCAAAACATATCTACCTAGTAAATATAAATATAATTAAACCTTGGTTAGTTGGTTTGTGCACTCACAAATCATTTAAATTATTTAATTTATGCACTAAAGTGTTGCTATGACTTGTAATGCATTTTCTTCAAACCCAGGTTAAATATAGCCTTATAGACACTTAATCCTAAATATAGCTTATTTAGGATTAAGTGCCGTATCCAGAAACTTTGATTTATTTATATCAACTGATTAAGGTTTTTGCACGACAACGCAGCAACGTAGTAATTTTTTTTAAAAACTGTTGATTTATAAAATGAAATGGGTAATTATCTTTCAACGTTTATATTTTCCCTAAAAAAGTCGATTTCTATATATTGACATTTTAAATTTGACATAAAACAATTAAAATATCATCAAGATTGATTTGATATTTGTGACATTTGCTTTTAACCATAGAAAATAACTTCGCTAATATAAGTCAGGGTTTACTAGATTTGTTTTTTGGCCAATAAAATCATCTAAAATGTAAATTGGTTGATAAAATTTATATGAGTCCTTAGAGACTGTTTTATAATATGGATAAAAATAGATAGACCAGCCTTTAAAAATGGTAAAAAGAGAAAAAAAATAACAGTAGGATGAAACCCATTGGAAAAGGAGGGAAATGTTATAAAAATTAAAGGAAAAATAAATTACGGGCGATCTGAGTTCAGGAAGTGGGAGGGGGGGGTTTAAGGGTAAAATATGGTTTATCTCGATTTCCGGCAAAACTACAAGTCCTATGGAAAAAAGTTAAATGTCAAAGTTGTAGGTAATAAAAAGATCTACAACTTTTGTATTTACAATTTTTTCACATAACCTCAAAATTTATGTGAAAAATTCAAAAAACCAAGTTTTTGGTTTTTTATTTTTTTCCTTTAAAAAAAAAACTTTTTTCCACGAAATTTGGTGAAAACTTACCTTTTTATGTCCCAAATACACTGTAATTTATTTGATTTGAAATATTTATTATTTCGCCTTATTTTGACTTAATATCAAAAAAGCACCCTAATTTTCAATCGAAAATTCTCGCGTCAAAATATCAGCTTTTTTCAAAAAGTCGGTGTGCTTTTTGTTCGATAAACTCTACTTTCTGATGGTGTAAAAAAATATATACATTACTATGGTAAATGTTCTCAGAAAATACAAAAAATATTATAATGAATAACGTAATCAGAATGAAGTATCTAAATTCAATAGTATGATTTACATGTATTTTTATATTTTATGAGATTTTCTGACATAAATGTTATTAGAATTTAATAAATAAACTTTTTAACTAAAAAAAATTGCAACAATCACATTTTTTTGATGAAATTGTACAATTGGCGTCCCCGAAATGTGAACGGCAAAATTTAATCGTGTAATATGGGCTTTGCATCAGTGTCGTCGGTAGTTGTCAAATTTGATAATAGTTGTCAATTGCAATATTAAAAATGCCACCCCACTTAACCGAGGCTCAGAGGTCCAGGGCAATAGCCAAATTAGAAGAAAATTGGTCTTTAAGTGAAGTAGCTGCAGATTTAAATGTCAGTAAAAGCTGCATATTTTATATCAAAAAACATTGGCAAGAACAACAAAGATTAAGAAGACCTATCAGGCAAGGTGTAGGAAAAATCTCCAACGAAAATGAAGACAATGCTCTTGTCGCACATATTAGGCAAAATCCTTTCAATAGCGCAGTTAAGGCCCGAGAAGATACACAATTTCCAGGATCTCTTCGAACAGCTCAAAAAAGATTAAAACAAGCTGGTTTAAAAAACTGTGCTGCTGCTCATAAGGTTTTTTTAACTGAAGAAAATAAGCGCAGGAGAGTCCAGTTCGCCAATGACTATTTAAATTATGGAGAAGATTTTTGGAATAATGTTATATTTTCGGATGAAAAAACGTTCCAATCTTGCAATAATGGAAGGCTGCGTGTATATCGTCCAAGAAACGCAAGATTTGAGGAGAACTATACATTAAAAACCTCAAATAGTGGACGCTTTTCCATAAATGTTTGGGCGTGGATAAGCCATGGTCCGGGAGTATGTTGGGAAATTGATGGTAGATTAACGGCTGAGCACTATACCAGGATTTTGGACAACGTTATGCTACCTTCAGTTAGACATGTGTTTCCAGAAAACTTTATATTTCAACATGTAAGAAAACTGTATAGTATTCAAAAACGATTCTAATAAATATTATATTACAGGACAATGCACCAGTTCACACAGCTCGCGTGGTTACAGAGTGGGTAAACAACAACCACATAACTGTTTTGCCATGGCCAGCTAGAAGCCCTGACTTAAACCCCATTGAAAACGTGTGGGGTTTTATAGTTAAAAATATATATCAACGGGACTTTAGGCCAGCAAACCGAGATGAACTATGGAGTGCTGTTGAAAATTCTTGGGATGAGCTTGCTGATTCATATGACATGCGTGAGCTAATAATGTCCATGCCAAGAAGGTTGCAAAGGGTTGTGGCAGCTAATGGCTCTGCAATTAAGTATTAAAATAGCTTAGCAGCACAGTTTTTTAAGCCAGCTTGTTTCAATCTTTTTTGAGCTGTTCGAAGAGATCCTGGAAATTGTGTATCTTCTCGGGCCTTAAATGCGCTATTGAAAGGATTTTGCCTAATAAGTGCGACAAGAGCATTGTCTTCATTTTCGTTGGAGATTTTACCTACACCTTGCCTGATAGGTCTTCTCAATCTTTGTTGTTTTTGCCAACGTTTTTTGATATAAAATATGCAGCTTTTACTGACATTTAAATCTGCCGCTATTTCACTTAAAAACCAATTTTCTTGAGCAATATGTTAATTTAGTTATGTTATTTTTATTGTGTATTTACCTACTTGTTAATTTATATTGTTGTATAAAACCAAATTAAAGTTAATTTATTTGTTATATTGTTTATATTATTGTTTGTTAAAATATTATTAAAAAAATAGAACGATTTAGGATATAATAATAACAATAATTGTTCTTATTCTTAGTATTCTCCCTTCTATATGTAACACCACTGGCCGAAGCCAGGAATGAACGAATAAATTTTATGAAAAAAATCCATGACAACAAAAAATCGTTCACATTTCGGAGACGAAATTTGGTGAAAACTTACCTTTTTATGTCCCAAATACACTGTAATTTATTTGATTTGAAATATTTATTATTTCGCCTTATTTTGACTTAATATCAAAAAAGCACCCTAATTTTCAATCGAAAATTCTCGCGTCAAAATATCAGCTTTTTTCAAAAAGTCGGTGTGCTTTTTGTTCGATGAACTCTCTACTTTCTGATGGTGTAAAAAAAAATATACATTACTATGGTAAATGTTCTCAGAAAATACAAAAAATATTATAATGAATAACGTAATCAGAATGAAATATCTAAATTCAATAGTATGATTTACATGTATTTTTATATTTTATGAGATTTTCTGACATAAATGTTATTAGAATTTAATAAATAAACTTTTTAACTAAAAAAAATTGCAACAATCACATTTTTTTGATGAAATTGTACATAATGATTAAAATAAATTTTCGAATTCGAGTTTTTTTCGTTATTCATTATAATATTTTTTGCATTTTCTGAGAACATTTACCATAAAAATGTATATTTTTTTTACACCATCAGAAAGTAGAGATTTCAACGAACAAAAAGCACACCAACATTTTGAAAAAAGCTGATATTTTGTCGCGAGGAATTTTCGATTGAAAATTAGGGTGCTTTTTTGATATTTAGTCAAAATAAGGCGAAATAATAAATATTTCAAATCAAATAAATTACAGTGTATTTGGGACATAAAAAGGTAAGTTTTCACGAAATTTCGTGGAAAAAAAATTTTTTTTGAAAAAGAAAAATAAATAACCAAAAACTTGTTTTTTTGAATTTTTCACATAAATTTTGAGGTTATGTAAAAAAATTGTAATTACAAAAGTTGTAGATCGTTTTATTACCTACAACTTTGCCATTTAACTTTTTTCCATAGGACTTGTAGTTTTGCCGGAAATCGAGATAAACCATTTTTTACCCTTAAACCCCCCCCTACCACTTTCCGAAGTCAGATCGCCCGTAATTTATTTTTCCTTTCATTTTTATTATATTCTTCTCCTTTTCGAATGGGTTTCATCCTACTGTTATTTTTTTTGGTTTCAAAAATTATCGACCCTGGTCTAAGACAGTATTTTTGTTTTTAAATATATATAAAAATATATTCAGAAGGTAAAACACCTATAACAAAGATATAATTAAAAAATAAGATTTTTTTAAAGATAAAATTACTACCATGTTAATTATATAAAATATCTTTGCTGTCTCATTGAAAAGCTGAATGCTTAAAATCAACTGATTTTTACTTTCTTGGTTTCATTGTAAAATAACATTAAACTTGGGTAAAAATATGTATTGGTTAATTTTTTTATTATTAAAAAAATAAATACCTTCCGTAAATGTTTACTTTTTATTATATTACCTAGATAATTTAAAAAAATTACTATTTAATAAATAATAAGCATTATAAAATAAAACCAAAATTGTGTTTAAAAAATATTTGTCTTATTTTTTAAATACCTACTTTTGAAGAATTTTAAATTTTAGACCATGTTCAACTTCTTTTTTCTTTTAAATTTTTAAATTATTTGCTTTCTCTTCAAATAAACAGTAGATAAAGAAACAGTAGATAAGAGGGGACAAAAACATAGGTATTTCAAATTAAATATACATATTATAATATTATTAACAGTTTTTGCCAGTAATACAAGTTTAAAAGGCATTTTATAAAAAAATAAACAATTGTATTTGCTCGAAATAAAAAAATAATAAAAAAATAATTAAAAATATTCTCTGAAACTATATTTTATTTTTAAAATAAAATACACATGGTAAAAAAATCTGGACTAGAACTGCAACAGTTAATTTAAAATTTGTTTTATTAAAATAACAGTTTTTAAAATTGTGGTACTTATATTTTTCAATATAAATTTTTTAAAAAACAAAGAGTCTGCATATTATTTTTTCAGTGAGTTTAATTTAACCCTTTAGAAAAGCAGGGATTCTTGCCCCATTTCCAGCAAGGCAGGCAAGGCCCATTTATTTATGTATATCAAGCATTAACTAACTATGTTGATATTTTTTATATATTCTTGTCACAAATTTTAAATGTCTTTTTGCCTCTCGATGGCTTTGGCATCATTGCATTTATTTTTCAAAACATTTGCCTAAATCATTTAGGCTAAAAGCGTAAAAAGGTGTTATTGGTAGCTGTAAAAGAATAGCTAAAAGAGCATTGCCTTTTAGACACTGATCTAGTATTCCTAATAACTAATATAATTATTATAATTATAATATAATTAGTTAATCCTTTACAGGAACAAACACTTGAATAAAATTTCCACCAACTTCAACAAAATTTCTTTGTCCTTTTCAGAGGCTTTAAGCTGTAATTTTCGTTTTTCATACCTTCTTATGCAAATTTACTTATACCACACATTGCAAACTACGAACATATCCCAATTGTGTATGTTTTATATTTCGGCAATTCTCTTCTAACTAAATTTTTGTCAATAATAAGGTTTAGTCAGTTATAAATATATTTATGTGTATATTTAATATAAATTTTAAAAATGTATTACTCTTATAATGTAATAGACACACATTTAAGTATATGTAAGATAACCTACAAATTTTACTGCCAAAATTTGCTATGTTGCCAAATTGGTTCAAACTTAAATCAGTGTATATGCGAAAATCAGTTAATATAAATAAATCAACTTTTCTGCATACGGCCCTAAGTGTTTATAGCTAAGTTATAATTATTATTTCTTCTTTGCTTACTTGGTTTATATTTATTTATTAATTGACGAATAATATTAAGTTTAATTGGTTATATTTTAAAATATGCTGTGGTGTTAGAAATGTCGAAAATACATTTTTGGATAATTTAATGGGCCATTAAATCCTTACCATCCTCTCTGCATACGATCACGATAATTATAATTATAATTGAAGTTAATAACTCTAACAGTAAAATAGTTAATATTGGTCTACAAAAAACTAATTTACTAATTTTAGATACAGCTAAACAAAGAGGTAGGATTAAGGATCATATCACTGATGTTAACACCAATGAAATATTCCATCAGGAAGTATTAATGGAAAGAGGTAATAAATAAATTTATTTTATGAAACATTAATTTTGTATTACTATAAATGGTTTTACGGGGATACTACCCATCACATAATAAAATGCACTGTCATTACGAACATAACTAATATATTTTATCTGCTCCCACTCTGGTAACTGGGCTATTGTTACCTTGTTTTGTAGCAGGTAAGTTGATTTTACCGTAAAAGGCTGGTTGCTATTGACGACGGGATGAAGTGAGCTACTTATCTCCCATGGGTAAACAACGTCTTAATAACGACAAAATCATAGCAGACTATGTGACATCCATGTCAATATCAAAAACTTACTTAGAGTCAGTGTCAAAATAAATTGATCAAAAAAGTATTTTTATTACATGAAACCTAATTGTGGGAGCAGATAAAACGTTATACACCACGCAGGAGGTAAGTTTTGACCAGTCTTGGACTCTATTGACAGCCCTCGCACGCTCGGGCACTAATTCGTCATTGACTGGTAAAATCTAATTAACTCCATTCTAGTGTAATATACTGCCCAACTATGGAGAAGGGCAGTAACTGCTAAACAAGAAATTTGTGAAAAATTAGCATACACTACAATTTTATCAAAAGCAGTAGGTATTTAATTGATTTATTTAACTTATGAGATAGTTAACTAGTAAATTTAGCTTTATCATATCACAAGAAAACGTATTTATAATTATTTTGTAGTAACTGCCTTTTTCCATAGTATGGCAGTATACTTAATATACTAATTATTTTAAAAAACCTATAATTTAAATTAGTGGTTTTCAACGGGGGCGATAACGCCCCCTGGGGGACGTTAGAGGGGTGCTGAGGGCGGTAGGGGACTAAATATGTGCTGGGAGGTAAGCGGGTTTTTATACTCCAGTGTGACTTCGAAGAACTACCATTGTCCAGATTCTTCCTAAAAATAAAAACACCCAGTGCCAAAGTTTATAAAACGTTTTGGCAACAGAGGCAGATCGTAGTCCTTTCATAAAGGTTCCATTTTACAATTGGTCTTTAACTCAATCATTCATATTGTACAATAAAGTTCTGTTTTCTTTAATTTGTTTTTTTATATTACTATTCATAACTAGCTCCATCCCCTCAGGGGGGCGAAGTTTAAAAATGTTGGAAACTACCATTGTTTTCAAAAACAATGAAACTACTGATCTTAAAGATGTTTCTGGCTGCCTTTGTTTGGACCAGTCGACTGCTGTCGTAGGGCAGTAACGCTCGCTATTTAAAAAAATGCATAACTCGCAGTGTTTTTATTTCTTTTTTCTCAAATTTTGACAGTATATTTAAAAACACAAAATATCTAAATATTTAGAACTAATCTCCAAAATTTTCCAACAAACATGAGGAGTTTGTTAAATATTATTTTATTTACAAAAATATTTTAGGCAAATTTAAATTTTAATAAAAAACTCTGTAAAACAGGCGATGGTATGTTCTTCGGAAAGTAATACACAAAAAAATATCAAAAATGTAATATTGGTAGGTAAGACCTCGGTCGATAGCCTTTTGGTTTTTTCAATTAATATATTTACTACTACTGTAATATAGGCAAAATTCTTTGAGTTATGAAGGTCTAAAAACTTTTTATATATTTTTTGTTTATTTATTATAAGGGTGATTCTACAAAAGTGAGGCAACTTTTGACCTCATTTTGTTTATATAGTTTTCGGAGAAAATTAAACAGTATTTTGTTATGAGAACATAGATAATATAATAAACATACTGTTCCAGACCGGGCCAGTCACTTTTTCACACAGTTTCTGAAATATCTGTGTTTTCTAAATTTGAATGCAAGGGAAGTGACGAGTATACCATGGTACTAATTAAATACATAATTTATTGGAAAATATAAGATTTATTGCAACTTTGAGCATATTATACATTAAATATCTTAAAATCAAATAATACGACACATCAGTGGCGGCTGGTGGATTTTGATGACATTAAATAAACAAGTTCTGCGCAAGCAGAATTTAAATTTAAGTTTGAGAAAAAAAGATAACCGAAACATCGAACATGGAACTGACGACACGGTACTGATGAATGGGATACAAATTTGAGATTATAATTCGGAATTAAGTATTTTACTGATATTTTTTATTAGTGGATGCTACTTATCAACAAATCACATATAGCCTTAAAATATATATACGTAAGAAAATAACTACTCACCACAGTACTGAAATTTTGACTGAAACTATATGTGCATTCACTACAACTTCGCCGCTTGCATTGTTTTCAAGATGACTGTCGTGCAAAGTGCGGGCTCTGTAGGTAATTTTTTAACAACACTTGAGTTAAAACGAGGACTTGACGATTAAACTTATATTTCTCAGCAATTTTAACATTGGACACAGAACTGACGGGTAAAAGTAAGTACAAAGATTATCAATTTTTTAAAATTTGCTATTATTCGAATCTATGATAAAATATGAAGAATACATTATGTAATGTTTTATAGTTTGTAGTAAAATTGAAAAATTTAAGATAAATTGAATATATTTTAAAATAAAATCACCCAAATATTTGATTCAGGAGTTGTGACACGCCAAGGTACTAACTTCCCGCCCACCCAACCTATCCCTTGTCTATGGTACTGATGTTTTGAATATTTATTATGTTTTTTTTATAAACGTGCTTTTGAAAAAATACATTTAAATTGGGTGGATAAGTTAAAAAACCTGAAACTTTTGTAATATACTAAAATATTTACAAAAAATATGAAAATACCTACTCTATTGACTGATGACATCAAGTTGTCCAACTTTTGTAGAAACAACCGTAAACCAAAAAATATATAAAAATAACTTAAAATAAAGAAATTTACAGTTTTTGCATATTGGCAAAATTCTTGAGTTATGGCCTGTTTCACAGAGTTTTTGGACACCCTGAGTATGAGTATAAGAGATGTATAACCAGACCCATTGCCTCATCACTCCCGGACCCTGTACAGGCCTATGTTAACTACGCGAATTTTTGTTCGCCCCCAGCAACTGCACGGCTTCACCCGTGTTTGCTGGGTGCGAATGTTCATTACATTCCGTACTTTCCCCTATTTGGGGCTCGAGAGCGACATGCGAATAGTTTTAATAGCCATTCTCGGGTTCGCCGAGCCGATTATATACGCCCAGTAGGGTTTAGAGGAGGAGGGATGGGAGGGATAGTTGGTTTTTGGGGGACCTATACGCCGACTTAAAACTAAGTACGACGCGGAATCCCCCAGACCAGTCGATTAGTATTACTCCAAACATTTGGGATTACTATTTGGAGTTGTTATTTCGCTGCAGGGGTGTAGTTTCCTAGTCGAGGTCTTCGTCTTGTTCGTTATTGTCATTGTCCGTATCCTGGTCAGATAGTTCCTGCACTTGGTAAAGTGTGCCAGTTGTTTTTTTTTATTTTATTTTTATTGTTGCTTAGTTGCTCCCAACTGGTCTTGTTAATTTTTGAGAAGTGCATGTTTTGTGCTAACGTGTCATGAAATGTGAAGCATGGTCTCCCGACTTTTTTGTCGGTAAGGTCTAGTTTAAGGGTGGCTTGTAGTATGTTGTTGCGTTGCCTACGAGTGATGTGGGCAAATTATTTTAATTGGGCTACTTTTACCCTTTTGGTATTGGTTTTGCCCATTAGCAGGTCGCGGGGATGTTGGTGATGGTAGTCGGGTAAGTCTGTCGTTAGTAGTGTAATGAGCTTCCGTTCAAGTTTGCATAATTTTTGTCCCAAGCACGTTTTGTGGTAGAGTTTTGTCTTTTTTTCTTAAATTCCAAAATTAAGTATTGCATTTATTTATTAGTTAAACAAATGACAAGCGCAATTATTCTGTTATCAAATGTTTAAAAATCTAGTAGAGTTTGGTTATTATGCTTTTTTTACTATAATAGGGTTATAATAATTAATGTGTTAGTTTATTCTGTGTGTCTAGTGTTTATTATTGGTCCCGTTTGGGTTTGCCTTACGCATTTGTTGTTGACAGATTTATTGTTCTACGCAGTGTGCCTTTCTTAGGGTTTTAAAGATATCTGTCGTGTTTAATTTGCAGGTTACTTATAAATTTTTTGCGGATGGCCACCTCCCCTCTTGTTTGACCTCCTTTGTTTGTCCAGTGAAAAGCGTCCAATGACAGGTGGCACTTAACTCATTCATATCACTTAACACTTCACTCCTCATTGACCGTTACACCATTTTAGTTTGCACTCTTTGTTTCACTATAATTGGTTTGCACTTTTTAAAAATTATTGTTGGTTTTAATCTTTAAACTACTACGTTTTAAGACCTCTCGCTCTCGCGTGGTGCTTTCTCAAGTGCTGGAACCTGACGAGTTTTGGGACACCCTGTGTAAAAAAAGCATTTTATTGTTTAATAAAAGTTTTAGAAAGGTATAACTTTTAAATACTTTTTAATAAAAGCGGGAAAAAGAACCAGTATTTAACAAATTAATAGTCAGCTACAACCATAGTTGCTATTCTATACCTGCCTATATTTAATCTGTTCAAAGATAATTGGAATTTTTTACTAAAAATAAAATACGCAAATCAACTAATTATAGTTGCGATATAACTTTGATATCTTCCTTAAATTTCCACTATTTTTCGATAAAATTCCATTTCAATCCTGCAGTTAATCGGTTTAGTGGATACGTGCAAGCAATTAAAAATTAGAAAGATAATGAAAGCCGCTCAAACAGTTTGTTTGTTTTAGATGAGTAATTAACAGATTTTGCTTTATATGAAAAAGTCCACTCCGTATATTTTTATCTAAGTTAAAAAATATGTTGTTAATAAACAAAGCAAAAACAAAATAATATAAAGAGATGTGATACTTTTCAACTTATACAGGGTAATTTTAAATTCGGTGTACATATTTTAAAAGCGTAAATGAGATTTTTTTTCTGTACACTGTTCAAAATTTCATGACCATTTTAACACCAAATTTACACCATACATGGTCTATATCGATACAACCAAAATGGTGTTAAATATGGTTCGTTGGTCCGG